TTCAGAAACAGAAAGTAGTGCAGCTGCTTTGTTTACAGGGTTTCTGGGGTAACGGCTGCATTTAAATGAATAAATATTATTATTATTTTTATTATTATTTCTGCAGTTTAGCGCCATCTGCTGTCAGAGAGTGAAAGTGCGTGTTAATCCAGAGCGTCTCTCACATGTTCCGCCATGTGCTTCTCGTTCGGCTTATTTACATCAGAGTGCGCACATGTCTTAGCATACAGCGGTGTTGTGCATTTTGACCAGTTGATGGGAAAAGTATTCTTAAAATGCATTCAAAATTCTAAATAATTTGTAATATATAATTATTCACGGTATTTAGAAGTGCCCAAGATAACAATATCGTGCATATTCATTACCGTGATATATCGCATTACCGAATACTGGCACAAGTCTACACGTGACATAACCGAATAGAAATCAAACACAGAAAAGGTGTCCTGATGTTTGTTGTGGTTGGTTAGGAGTAGGACAAAAAACTGAAAGACACGAAAGAGATATTTTGATTATTTTGCACCTGGCTAGGGGACCGTGTAAGACTAGAAAAAAACTCATGAAATCTACATCAATACAGCCATATTAACCATTTTATTATTAACAACTGTTTGGCATATTTTTGCAATTGCAAATTCTTTTGCTTCCCATTAAGATGCATGTAATCAAATCTTATGTCAAACAGGATCAGGCCATTCTATTGAAACAGTTCAATCAAGTCAATCAAAACTTTCAGTCAATCAAAACTCATTCAGCTCTGACTGTATTGAACACTTCAGTTCCACTGTTTCTGTATTATAGATTATAGGAATCAGTGTTGGGTTTAACTAGTTACTAAGTAATTAGTTACTGTACTTTACTTTTCCCTTGAAAAAGTAAGGGATTACTCTTACTTTTTCTGTAATTTAATTACAGGTAGTTCTTATGTAATTGAACTTAATACTGTGTATAGACTGTAGATACTTTGGTGAGTTAATAAGAATATTGGTAACACTTTAGTGTCCAATTCTCACTATTAACTAGTTGGTTATTAGCAAGAATATTACTGGGATATTGGCTGATTATTATTACTTAAAAAGAACATATTAATGCAGGGCTGTCCAAACTCGGTCCTGGAGGGCCGGTGTCACACACACACACACACACACACACACACACACACACACACACACGCATGTCTCTTTGCTGAGCCACTGCGGTCTCGGTGAATCAGCAGCATCCACAACTGAATGGAACAATGGAAAAGTGTTGAACTTGAAAATTGTTTATGCGAGAGTGCACTTGCTAATTGAAGGCGGATTGTATAACGAAAGTCACGAGACCTATTACTCTCTATCCAGTCACGTTGATGGATAAAAATAAGATTAAAATAAGCATGTAATGACCACAAACGGAGGAAAATAGTGGAGTAAAAGTACCGATACATCACTTAAAATGTACTCAAAAAAGTACAATTACTGATAAAAACTACTTAATTACTGTAACGTGAGTATTTGTAATTCGTTACTACACACCCCTGGAAATGCCTCAGTGTTTTTGTCCATACAATGAAAATCAATGGCCACAACCTTCAAAATATCTTCTATTGTGTTCCACAGAAGAAAATCAGTCATACAGGTCTGGAACAACATTAGTAAATGACGACAGAACATTTTGGTGAACTATACCTTAAAGTAACCTTTCACATCTGAAATGTTAAAAAGTGGTTAGCGCTAGATGTTTGCTCCAAAGCAGGGTTACTACCGCCAAGATAATCCAGAATGATTTTAACACTATTAATGGGTTAATGATTTTTTTTTCTTATAATACTTTATTCATATGAGGGATAAAGGAACATGGGTAGAAAAAATGGGAAACCCGTCAGTCCATTTATCTTTTGAGAATACATTCTGCATCATTGCTTCAATGGGAGTTAACAATTTCAAAAGTCTACAACCTACATTAAGTGACATCCTCCAGGTCCTTGTTATTAAATTTTCTCAATACATTTTTATGTGGGTTCCTGATCATTAGCATGTGTCACATTATACTCACTTCCTGTTTCGATTCTGTACAGACTGCTGCTGTTGAATCTGCTGCTGTGAAGGAGCGGGCCGTTTACGACTGGCTTCCATGGCTTGATTGGTGAGTCCGGGCCGGACAGCAGGACTTCCTCCAAATGGTGGTCCTGGAGGCCCCATTGGGGCCCCCTGATGAGGCATTCGTGCTCCTGATGGCATACCGGGCCGCTGAAAAAAGGTGACAACAAAAAGATAGACATAAGAAACTGACTTGGAGAACATTTACATTAGGGATGTTCATTTCGGTTATTTTTCCTAACCAACAACCGACGCTCGTTAACCAATTTTTAACCGTAAACCGACAAGATTATTTTAAATTAGAATTGAATTAAATTAGAAAGGATAAGTGTCTGTGACCCGTTAAAAAATATTAACATTTGTTTTCCGGGGATAAAAGCAGCAAACAACAGAACAAGAGGATTCACATGGTCATATCATATCTCACCACGCACCTGCAGCGCTTCTGCCAGCGGAGAAAAACATAATATATATATCGAATAAATAGGCCTATACGAGAAACTTAGCCTATTTTTACTTAAATAATAAATTAAGAAAATGAAAGAAAAACTGTGCAACAAGTAGCCAAGAATGCAGAGTTTCGGTTCATTTTTGTGCTGCGTGAAAGGAAACCAGACGACAGAAAGCAGCATCCTATTTTTCTTTAGGCTTATTTTACAAAAGCACAAAGATTTGTTTTTATTGTGAATGTACACAAATAAAGGCAAACCTTTTACAATTCCAATTATCTTTAGGACTAAAAGGAGTAGTTGCTTCCACTGTTAGAAAGAAAAAACACAAGTGATTACGCCGGCGCCGCATGTCGCTTGTCGCTTATATATATATAGCTTCTTATATTTTTAATTCTTGTTCTTTTCTAAATACTGTTAATTGAAAGGATTTGTTATGGAGTGGGGGGAACTAAAATAGCCTAGCTATGTTTACAGTGTTTATTATAATGTTTGTAAACATTTCGCGTCGGCATTAGGCCTATTTCTGAATGAAATAATAAAATGCGACTTGTACGCAACTTATGTTTTTTCCCCCTAAAAAACTTTTTTTTTTTATACGCGTAGCGTATTTTAACCATGCAGCAAACCTTTTTAAATATTTTGATAAATGAATGAAAAAATAAATGATTAAATTACTTTTTAAACCGTTTAACTGATTGTATTAATCGGTCAAAATTCTTACGGTCGGTTAACCGGTTAAAATTAACATCCCTAATTTACATGATTAACATGTACTCTGAAACAAGAGATTACAGATATATAGTGAATCGGTATAATGATGCTTTTTAAACATACACATAAATAACAATCAGTTATAAATAGCTTACTTAAAAATAATTCAAAATGGAAATAAAAAAGTTTGAACAATGAAAAGAACATGTGCACATTTGTGTTTAGGTTAAGGTGAAGATGTAAATATCCGCCACTGTTAGACCTACAGTAACTTACTAGTACAACAGCAGCTGTTGCTTTCCTTAGCAGCAGCAACTCAAGTGCAATCTATTCAACACTTGTGACACCACACACAAAAGGTCACACATACAACAGTTCAGGACAGTGAAAAAATGACTTTGAAAGAGTAAACTCGAGTCACACTCATGTGCATAAATCTCCTGAGAACAGATGGTGAGTGTTTCAACTTTGCTTGATACAAACTCATGCTATTTAACTTTTAGATGCAATTTAAAGGGGTCATATGATGCGATTTCAGTATGTGGAAAATAATGTGTTTTTTTAACTTTAAAACGCATAAACACATTTCATTACACCAAATACACAAAATAATGCTCTTTTTAGCAGCATCATATGACCCCTTTAATTGCATTAGTTAGGTTGCTACTCTAATTACATCAGAATAAGCAATGGTTTTACTTATGGAAAAATAAAAATTTTTTATTGAAATTACAGGAATTGTTCACTATTGAACTAATTGAACTGGTCAATAAATAATGCAGACAAACTAATAAAAAAATGGTGTTGTCAATATGTTGGTAGAGTAACAAATATTCCACAGAATTTAACATCAAGTACAGAGATACACCACATATTAAACAGATACTAGAGATGTAGCTGCTTTGAAACATGACAAGAAAAAACACTTCTCTCCAGAAAATACTTATTTTCTTGGCTACTAATACAACTGGGAAGACATCAAATAATGGTTATTATCACGGTGTAAAAATCAGGGGGGCTATTATTACAGATATTTTTTTCTTGGTATTAAAGTCGCAGCCTAAGCTATCTGCTGAAGTAATTGATCATATATTATAGTGACATAATATAGCCTCCAATATATGGCTGCCAAGACAAGACAAATGAAGATGTTATTGAGAATGACAGACCTGATGGGTGCATAGGGAGTAAAGGAGTGAGACAATACAACTGATGGATGAAAGATAAAGTTTGCTATGATACTACACAACATGAAGGTAAGATGGACAGCAGGATAGGAATAGGTTAATGACTGCAGTAGACAGGATTTTCTTTAGAAAGAAAGAAAGCAGAGGGTTAGGATCATGGTGCTGGCAGTGAAATTGGACAGGCAATTTGAGAGCATGTCAAAGGTACGGCTTGGAGTGACAGAGCAAACACACAAATACACAGACAGACAGTGGTCAAAAGAACAGGTAAGGGAAACTCCAATCAGACAAAAATAAACAAATGTACTGCAAGAAGTGTACACTCCATGTCTTTCTAAAGTCATAATGAGAGGACAATGAGTTCAATGAGAATAACTGAAGTCATATCAAACAACAAAGACATGCTGAGGGAACAGATGAAAGAGAAAAGTCAGGCAGATATATAGTGAGAACGCAGGACACAACTGGATCAAATCAGGTGTAAAAATGCACTGAAGCATCACAAAGCATAAATTCAATTCAACGCATTGATTACAGAATTTATGAATTGACTGTAATTATAGCCTTATTCCATGCATTACGACTTAATTTCTCATTTAAAACACAGTTCTGGACCTGTTTTCAGTTGCACCTCTGCAAGAGATGTGTCTTCAGTGTATATCTGAAAATGCTTATGAATCATTCATACCACAATAATCAAATCAAATTCACTGACATTAATTATAATCATCATCAAAGGAGGCTGTTGTCTTTTCAGTTGACTTTGAGAAACATTTTCTTCAAATTCGGATTCATAGTCTCAAAAGTAACATTTTTTACCAATTTGTAAACAGAATTGACTGAAAATCACAAATATGTTTATGAATATCTCCAGTTATTCTGTAAAGCTTGTCTGGGGATGGAGCTTAATGAAGGGTCATTACACCAGCATTACTGTATATGCCTGAAATATCATTTCTTAGGGCTGGCTCACAACAAAGTAACCCATTTTTCCAGTCCATTGTGCTACTTTTTCATTGTTTTTCTATGTAAATGTGCACTAGACAGATGTGTTTTTTAGTTGCACTCAAGTCTTTTGTGGCATCTCGCACATGACACTTTTAAAAAACATGTCTTGAGACTCCCCTGACCGCATCTTGTGTTTTCCAAAGCAAAAATGCATTCTGTGTACAAAGTCGCCAAAGAACCACTAGAGAAGATCTGAATCTGTCAAGCTCTGTTTCTAATGGTGTGAACTAACCATTTGACATAGTTATGTTAAACAAGATTACTTTCACCTTGTGGCTGCGGTGTGAGAAACCTCACCTATGCACTTCGGTTAAACAGGAAGGGCTCACACTGAACTGCTGCAGATGTGGAACAAATGTGTGAGAGTAACAACTAACTGCTGATTTTGGGTGGTTTTGTGTTTAATTTATACAAAGGAAGTGACTGTGATGTACCCATTAATGATGTAGCTCACGTGGGCTTGAAGCTGTGTTATGTCTGCAGGTCAGGAGATTGATGAAGTGAACTCTAGACTGTTGTGAAATAAGAGCAGGCTGTGCAGAGAGCATTGAGTTGCAGGCTAATGAAAGACAATGACTTACAATGAGATATTTAGCATTCGATAAGGCCACACACTTGCAGGTGTAACATTTCTGTTATTCCCTGAATGCTGCAGATAAACACTTTCTCTGTCTCTCAGTCTGATGTGCTGCCAGATGCTTTTAACGGTCTTTGTCTGCTGTTGAGCGGTCTTACCGTTACATTAACACAGGAAAAACTGAGCAGCAGGAAAAATTATCATGTTTGATAGCTAGAGAGGAATAAAAGAGCCTTTCATCAGATTCCTCGTTTTCGGAGTAGCGGGTTCGCCCATGAACAAAAACCGGAACATTTCAATAGTCCTGAAATGGACCACTTAAAATAGTTTAAACAATTACTGTCCTTTGCTGTCTCTCTCTGTGTGGCTGCTTTGTTCACAAACCACTTTGAATATAAATTTGGATGCAGGTAGGAAGGAAAACATTTTATTTGGAATATTTTCCAGCAGTCACACCATGTGGATTTGCACTTCAGAGAAAGTGGCAGTGTTTGTGCTGTCAATCAGCTTTGACTGATGAGCACACTTCTGCTCGATTCCTGCTGATAACTTTTTGCTGAAGAACACGCTCGTCCCTCTGGAGTTTCTTTGCTTGCTGTTAATATGACAACTGCACAGACATCTGATTGGACAGATGGCATTATTTGACTCCTGTGCTTTCCACGAGTTCCTGAAAATGTTTACATAGCAACGAATAATCAGACTGACAATTTTCAAGTAAACATCTCAGTCCATCCAATTGAGCTGGTTTTAAATGAAATTATGTTTTGATTTAAAGGGGCAGTGCAGATCTCCAATAATAGTAACATTTTAGCTGTGTAAACCCTTGAATCCAACAACTTACGTGGGTTTATTTACATCTTGCCTATGTCTTATAAACTTATCTTTGTCTTAGAAACTGTTAAATATGCGAGTCTGATTGCAAAGTTTAGGATTAATATGAACATAACTTTCAGAATCTAAAATCAGATTCATTCAGAACATACACAGGACAAATGGAAGGTACATTGGATGGTTTTAAAATCATATTGCAATGTTTCACAATATGATTTGTTCTTTGAAGCAACAAACAAAATAGGGTAAAAGTCGTAGTGATTGGACTTATTTTGTTTTGTTGTTTTCAAAGTGTATTACAGTACAACTGATACGTAATGTGTAAAAATGCTGTTACTCCTCTTCTCACTGTATTTTACCATAGTAGTAAGTTTGCTATGTTTAAAGTGAACTGGAATGAGAGTTTCCGCTCCTAGAGTGAAACGACCTTTAGGTCATCTTTATTTATCCACACAGTTACACAGTAAGACTGAGTCTGTCATTAACCAAGACTGTGTGTTTTATTTTGTGCCTGACAGAGAAGGAGCAAATAAAACAGATTACCAGTAATGTGTATTAGAGAAACACTGAAACTGTTTGACACCTAATCGGAACTCAACATTGAGCCTAAACTAAACGCCAGGAAGTGGAGATCAAAAAAATAAATAAAATTAAATTAAAAAATTAAAAAAAAAAAGGACCGAAACAGAATATGCATAAAACTAACAACAAGTCATTGTCGACAAGTCAACAACAAACTTTGAGTACTAATTTCACTCATACTAGCAGATGTTTAAACTGTTACTTAATTGCAAACCTTGATGTGTACGGACTGTTCCTTGCCTTGGGAACAAGGCTGAACCACCACATTCTTGCAGTTCAAACATACAATGTCATAACAAAGAATATACAGTATAACTTTCATATGGCAGGCTTCAGACTGAGTGCAGCAGAGAAGCAATAAGGTGAACAATAGCAAAGGTCAGGCTGGGGTAATTCAGAGAATACATGAGTCCAGAAAGAAACACAGAAGATGCAGAGGAGAACAACACAGGCATAGGAGAGGACATAAAAGGAGATGAAGCCAAAATAAGGAGTGGGAAACATTTGCCCAGGAACAATCAGTGCTTCGTCAAGGTTAATTAGTCTGCAGAGGCAACACCATCATTTTCTTCATTCATCATCCAGACTCAGCATTTATGTGTTGTTATGTGAAGTTATGTGAAGCAGCTTAATGCAGAACTAAGGCAAATAGTGAACAAAAGGTTGTTTATGAAGCAAACCAAGACCATTACTGAAAGTGGAAAGTCTTCAGTTACAAAAGAAAAAATAACACAAGCACATACTAGAATTAATTAACCAAGGAACTTATTATACACTATCATTCAAAAGTCTCCAAGGTTTTTGTTTTGGATAGAAGTCTCTCGTGCTCACCAACGGTGCATTTATTTGCTCAAATAATACAGTAAAAACAATAATATTGAGAAAATTTAATTGAACTGTTTACCGTTTTAATATATTTAAGTTTATTATATAAGATGTAATTTATTCATGTGACGGTAAAGCTGAATTTTCAGCAGCCGTTACTCCAGTCTTCAGTGTCACATGATCCTTCAGAAATCATTCTAATACACTGTGGATAATATTATTATCCATGTTTTTGTGGTGATACATTTATAGTATTCCTTGCTGAATAGAAAATAAAAAAGAACAGCATTTATTTTACATAATCTTTTATAAATGCCTTTACTATCATTTTTTGTCAACTGAAAGCATCCTTCATGAATTCAAGTTTTCATTTATTAAAAAAATCTTCTTGAGCCTAAACTTAAATGAAAATGTATCTGACTAATCTCTATATCTAAATAATATACTAAAAAACATGAATACTCAAAAGTAAAAGAAACAGACACCCAACTAATGAAGCTCTTCAGAAATATCATAGTCTGCCATACATGCAATAATAGTAAAAATAATTATTATTAACATAGCACCTTTTTAAAACCCAATGTTGCTTGACAGAAACAATCATATCAAGAATAAAATCACAGCACACAAGAAACACACGAAAAGCAAAACTAATAGACAACAAAAAGCAACAAATAATGAAAATGCAGTTTTGTGCTTACGCTCACTCTACTACAAACTGCTTTTTACTTCAGTTTGATCTGCTCTGGCTAGACAAAGCCCTGCTAATCATAAATAAAAGATTACACCGCTACTGTGCTGTATGTACACAAAGGTTTTAGACAATAAGTGGATCTTTACAGCCTCTTCTGCATCAAACCTTGAATAGTGTCACATGGGAAACAGCAGTCCGTGTTACAGTGCTATTAGTAGTAATAATTACTACTCGCTACTAGTGCATCCTTTGGCGCTAAGACTAGCTTGAATTTTTAATGAATGACATGACAACAGACACGCTAATCTACACAGTAGATGTTATCCGAAGCACTTGATGTGTTCTTGGAGTTGTAATAACAGTGTGTTGAGTCACAGAGCGGCTTGTGTTTTGAATGAAAGCGCCCATCACCTTAGGCACGCTGCCAAACGCATGCAGCCTCCAGTGACCAAAGTGGCTACCTTTCGCCTTTCTTTCACGTTCGCCGATCCGTCTCGCTCTTTTTTTTCTTACATGCTCATCTCCCTCATTCGCCTCTTCTCCCCACCCCGTCTCCGCTTCAAAACGAAGAGCGGCGAGGAGCCGGGATCCGGAGGAGTGGAAATAACCTTCACATGGACACCGTTCACCGCTATCAGTCAAACGCACGGGCTCTGTCTGTAGCTGAGCTCACACACACACACACACACACACACGCACGCGCGCGCCAAGAGGGTACGTACCACTCCATGGACGAGGAACTCAAATAATTTGCTCTTGGTGGCTTTGCGAGCTCCTCCAGCGGTCTCCTCCGAAGCCATTTCCCTCTGGTCTCCCTCCACTCTGGTTTTCCCTCTCTTTTGTCTTTCCCTCTCCCTCACCTCTCTTGCTTTACACCCTTCGCTCACCTCCTCAACCCCCCTCCGAGGCTCCCTGCTCCACTTCCCTTACTTTCTGCTTTCTCTCTCTCCGTCTCGGAGTGTGCTGCCCTGTCGAGTCTCTCGCTCTCGCTGTGTCTCTCACGCTTGCGTTTGGTTGAGCTGCCTTTCAGGAGCCCGGCTGCGAGAGAACGTGGGGGGGTTGAGAGTTGGGGGTCTTTCAGGGGGGTTCCTGCTGGCCCACCATGACTGTCCCCCCTCCCCCTTTTACAAACACACTGACTGAAAAGCACACACGCTCACAGGCTGCTGCAGCTGTTGCATTACATTGGTAGATAAGGGAATGCTCGCTGACTGGTTGCTCACAGCCCTGCTGCGGTGTAGTTAGTCTCGCCGCTAACCAGACCCCTCCTCCTCTGCCTTCAGTACTGCTTTCTCTCCTGTCCTTTGCTGCAGTCAAACCCAGCAATGCTTGGAATACGCTGCTCATTCTCAAAAAAAAATGGAGGGAGGTTTCTTAAAGCAGCAGCAGTGAGGAAAAGCTGCCCAGTTTTAGATTGAGGTGGAAATAAAACAGGCTCAGAGAGCACTGAAGGCCTATTTTTTTTACTCTACCTGTCATCTTGAGCTTTTTAATTTGCTGTCTGTCGCAATTAAATACTAATACCTTCAATAATTTCCTGATCTTCCTTTTCTGTCAGATAAATTTTGCTGTATTAATGAAATATGTGCCGTTAAAAATGACTCGCCATCTGTGATAATGAACAATTACAATAACTCCAGGATCTTCCCATTGTGCAAAAAAAGCGCAATATCCAATACACTATACTTCTATTTAGCAAGATTATTTTGTACATACATATTTTGTCTATCTTGCCTACTGTGTACATATGAAGAGTTCAGATGCAAAAGCCATCTGAATTTTTTTTCTAAAATTTGTATTTTTCACAGGCTCCTATGTTTATGTTGTTTTTTTTTTCACATTAATGGCAATTAAAAAAAACCTATTCATTGCCATTAAAGTGAAATTACTGAACCTACACATAGGAGCCTGATAAAAATGCTAATTTTAGAAGAAAATTTCAAACGGCACTTAGAGGCTTTTGCATCTGAACTCTTCATATGTTGATTGACTAGTTTTATGGGGTATATGTCAAACGTCACCTGACCAAAGCAGAAAACAGGTCTCATCGCATCCGCTTGTCGGAGAAAGTGTTAACAGCAGTATGAACTGAGGGTGATATCTATGGACTTTTATGGTAATCAACTATCAACTAAATCAAAGCGTCGAGGCCAGAATAGGAAGTTTGTTGAGCATAAGCATGTTGAGCATGTTTTACGGTTTTTGTAATTTTTTTTTTTTGGTGTGTGTACTGGAAGCTTCACCAAGACAAATTCCTTTGTGTGTGTGTAAACATACTTGGCAATAAATCTGATTCTGATTCAGCTGTCGTCTCATTCCCTTACTCATTTGACGAGTCAGTTCCTCAGACGTCCATGTGCCTGATTTCCCCATAACTTCAAACCTATGAACTAACAACATGAATTCAAGTAAATATTATCAAAATATCCTCTACCATCCAGCTATACTTCTTTATAAAACTGTCTGAGCTATTTTGCACAGAGCACATAAGTGGTACCTGTTACTTTCTCAGTGCTAATAATATTAAACCATTTGCTCTGTCACTGTGTGAGTACAGCATGTGAATGATCAATCCAGCTATAACAAATATTAACCATATTTTCCCAGTTTAATTTTTCTGAACTGGAAATATTGTTTCTATGAGGTATTTTAAATACTATTTGGTCACTGGCATGTAATTACATTTACTTTTAGTTATTATTCAGCACTTTAAGCACAGTCTATTTTCCCTACAAATTATTAAAATGTTTCAGCCAAAACTTCACTTTCAAACACTGATTGACGCAACTAATTTTTGATTTTTTTTTAAAAATGTCAGATTTCCCACATCTATTTGAACACATTCAAAAATGACTACAAAAATAAAGATTTTCTTTGTTAAAAAGATAGTTCACCTAAAAATGAAAATTCTGTCATCATTCACACACCTTTATGTTGTTCCAAACCTGTATGAGTTTTTTATTCTGTGGAATATAACAGAGGATATTTTGGAGAATGTCTCTGAGTTCTCTGTCCATACACTGATGTCAGCGGGGTCCAACATTTTTCTAAATATTTTCTCTGTGTTCCTCAGAAGAAAGAATGACCTAAAGAAATTGCTTTGTCTACGTCACTGTCAAACAGAAGGATTGTAGATGGCTTATATACTGTTACCTCGTGTACAGTGTAAAAATACAACACTGCTATTCAGTAAAACAGCACTCTGATAGTGCTTAATCAATTTTTTTATATTAACATGTGAAGGTGTTAAAATGTCGGCCCACTTTAAGTTTAGGCATATTTAGAATTGAGGGTAATAATTTAAAAACTGAGCACTGAAAATCCTTATTTGTTGACCTCTAACCTAAATATTGGTTGTTTTTTGGGTCTTAAAATTTCTGTTTTTTCCCCCAAAACAAACAAAAAAAGTTAATTAATATTTTTAAAGTAAAATTGTTAAATACATTTTTACTTGAAATTGTCACTAATTTCATGTCTCTGAAAACAGCTTTGTGGAGGAGGCTTAGCACAAAAAATCCTCCCAGTCACAAGTCGTCTCCCATCCCCCTTGACTTCCCATTTGCTAAACTCTAAAAGAGCAGTGAATGCTAAATTATTCATGAGGTGTTTTAAATGACAAATTTCTTTGTGTGGTAATTGGTAAATGACAGCTGAAAACCTTTACACCCGGAGCCTTCAAATTAGGAACATCTGTCAAGACATGGATTTTTTTTTATTTTTGGAATAACACTCAACAGTGAATCATGCAAAACCAGAAATTTTCAAAAGATGATGTAGGGTTGTGTTAAAACAATCAAGTGTCAAATTGTTAAATAATGCATTAAGAACTTGATAGACTGACAAACTGAATTTAATTTTCTCTGGTATTTTGTTACACTTAAGTTCAATTGTTAGCACTGTGTTTTGACATTTGAAAACAACACTAAAATATGCTGTTTAAATAAGCATTCAGTGTTGCAGAAACTTTAAGTTTACACAGATGTAGAGGGATTGCCCTAACAAGGACATAACTGACAAACTACTGGCTACAACCTGTGAATCACAAAACTTATGACCACATTGTCTGGCTAAAAACTCCAAAGTTAATAAATCAATATCAATATTCATGCTATGATTCTGATGGAGATCTGGAATATGAAGACTAAACACCTTTCTAAAATCCAAACCAAATGCCTAAATTAGGAAAAATACCCAAAGGTTTGGTTACAAAAGGCCATTGTGTGTGGAATAATCATAAAGTGTCTAAAGGTCATTCATCAAAACTCTACGCATTAACAAGAAGGAAGTTTATATATAAAAGATGCCAGAGAGACTGAGAATAAGGTACATCAGTCAAACTGTGACACTGTCACACAAAGACACATTTTTGATACCGCTCAATATAATATATTAAGATGGTTTTATGTCTATATATTTGAGTTTTAATGGTTTTACATGTTGTCTTTGCCATTTTAATCCTCTTAATCATTTTAATGTGTGGATGTCTATAAATGTCCATGGGTCTGCCGGTCATGTGATTAATTAAACGTCACATTTTGGCGTTGTCTCATCTTTTTAAAACACTTATTTTACCTCACAGTTTAATCTGACCCCATTTTAAACCCATGTAATTCGACCAATAAGGCAGAGCATTACTAAATATATCTCTGTGTAACACAGGCCTTTATGGGAGAGTGGCACAAAGGAAACAGTTACCCAAAATGAAAGCATGCCTGGACTCTAGAGTCTGCCAAAAATCATAATAATGACCAATTGTGGGGTGGGAAGTGATTTTGTGGTCAGAAAAGAGAAGTGGTGATGTGTGACACAAACCTAACGCTGACTTAAAAAAAGAAACCATCAGCAGTCACATACGATTACAATGCACAGAAAAATAATTTGAGAGGTCCTGTTTTTGTCTGCTCAAAGTCTAGGGGGAAAAAACACACAAAAAATGTTTTTGGTGTGGCACTGTGACCCCATTTTACTTTTGATCACCCCATTTCAGGATGTAGTTCTACAAAAGCATCTCATCAAAGAGCTGAAAAGATGTGGTGGTCTTAGTACCCCTTTGAGCCCCCACCAAGTCTCCCTTTTCCCATTACAGCTCTGCCAAACGCTCAGGTCCCATTGACTGGGAGGTGAAGGGGGTGGGGGAGCTTTGTGGGGTAGGAAGAGAGATTGTGTGTGTTTGTCTATTGTTGGAGACTGCGGGACAGTTTGACCTCAAGTTGCAGTTTTAGGTTTCTCCTGCAGAGGTCTGTATACGCCTCCCAGTGAAACGATTGACTAATCAATGTGCCAAAGCACAGAGGCATCACATTCTCAAACAGTGAGTCTAGGGATGGAAGTCTGAGACAGAGTGAATCATTTCAACTCCTAAAACACGTATTTATGTACTGATTAGGTAACGGAGGAGGAAAAAATAGGGGGAATGAGCATGAACAATCGAAGATCAAATGTTGAATCATATAGATAAAAAAGTGATCTAAAAATCTAATAAAACTAATAAAAAAAACTCTAATATTGTCCAATAATCTACCAATAATATACATTTAAAACAAGCTGAGAACTTTTCATGAATCACAAAATGCTGTTTCATATATCAGTAATTCAAGCGGCACAATAACCCAATGAAGATATGACCGTTTTCTTGATTCAGCTCAGCCTCCTTCAAGTATACAAACTTTCTGAATGTTCATACATTAAAAACTTGTATCCTGGGTGGTCCGTTTTCAGACTAAATGCACTCTTGGCAAAATAGCCAGTAGCCAAGCCAAACAGACGATTTGAAAATAAAAGCAAGCTACCCTTTTCATTTAAAGACCAAAGCAAATTTGACGTGATTCTGGATTACAGTGAAAGTAATAACATCTAAGCTCAGTTATTTGCTATATTTGCTGCAGAAGGTACTATAAATTACTGTGTTTAAACTGATGTTCCAAACTATGCACTTGAGTTTGAGCATCTGGCAAATTTAATATTCAAATCAACAAAGAATAACAGAATCAAAGTAAACCTGTAATAATAAAACTAGAAATTTGCTACAAAGACATTGTTAATTTGTAAGAACATGCTTTCATGGAGAAATGCAGAAAATATTAAAAGGCAGCAGGATTTTGTGCTGTACTTGACTAAAAACCTC